GACATCAGTAATGCACCTCTCTCGGTTGATGGCGTAGTCAACTCTTTTATTTCTACATGTTCTTCTATTTTGGACACTGTGGCTCCAGTAAAGACTACACGCCGTAAAACCTCTCGCCAACTTTGGCTAAATGAATCCACCCTCGCTCTTAGACGTGAATGTTGTTGAGCTGAGAGGAGATGGAAAAAAGATCAACTTCAGGTGTACCTTGACATCCTGCATATGAGCCGGTCTAAATTTCAGAAGGCTGCCAAAATGGCAAAAACTTATTTTTTGTCAAACATTATTGCGACTAATAGTCACAATCCTCGAGTTCTGTTCAAAATCTTTAACTCAGTGGTTAATCCCTGCTCTGATGTTTCGATGGGTGCCTCCCTGGCCCTCTGCGAAAAATTTCTAAATTATTTTATAGATAAAATCTCAGTGTTAAGGGCCCCACATTCTCCGGTAGTAAATCAAGCCCCAGTTTCTGAATGTTCAACGGTTTTTCAACAGTTTGAACCTGTGTCATTCTCGACTTTAAAGGAAATAATTAATAACCTGAGAAGCTCAAATTTTCTGCATGACATTATTCCTTCTCGTATCATTAAAGATGCATTGAATACAATCGGGACCTGTATCTTATTTTTAATGAACTCATCACTGTCATCTGGCTATGTTCCGACTGTCTTTAAACATGCAGTCGTGCAACCTGTTATCAAGAAAAGTAGCCTTGATCGTAACACTCTAGCAAATTACAGGCCGATTTCTAAACTCCCCTTCATGTCAAAAGTTTTAGAGAAAATAGTGCTTCAGCAACTACAGACCCACTTAGAGAGAAACGGTATAAGTGATAAATTCCAGTCTGGATTTAGACCGCGTCACAGCACCGAAACTGCCCTACTAAGAGTCTTCAATGACCTTCTTCTAATCGCCGACTCTGGGCGCTCTGCGGTCTTAGTTCTATTGGATTTGACTTCAGCCTTTGATACGGTTGACCATGATATCCTTTTGGCAAGATTGGAACAAGTAGTAGGCCTTAAAGGAAATGTTCTATCTTGGTTTAAATCATATTTCTCTGAGAGGTCGTTCTCTGTCATGATGGGAAAATATTCCTCTTCTTCTGCCCGTTTTCGCTGTGGTGTGCCCCAGGGCTCGGTATTGGGTCCTGTGTTGTTTTCTCTGTATATGCTGCCCTTGGGCTCCATTTTTGAAAAACATAATGTCTTTTTTCACTGCTATGCTGATGATATTCAAATCTACCTCCACCTGACTGGGGATGTTTCATCTTCACTACATCCTCTGTTTGATTGTCTGAGCGATGTCAAAGATTGGTTATCACGTAACTTTCTTACTTTAAATGAAAAGAAGACAGAAATGATTGTTTTTGATAGAAATATGCCTCTGGGACAACTGACTGGCACATTCGGGCCTGTTGCTAACCACCTCACTGATGCTGTTAGGAATCTTGGAGTTTTCATGGATAGTTCCTTCAAACTAGATAAACAGGTCTCTACTGTGGTAAAAACCAGCTTTCACCAACTATGCCTAATTTCTAAGGCTAAACCTTACATACCACACAAAGATCTGGAGAAACTCATTCATGCCTTCATCACTTCAAGACTGGATTATTGTAATTCTCTCTACTTGGGCCTACAATCTTCTCTTCTTCAGCGTTTGCAGCTGGTCCAAAATGCCGCAGCACGTCTCTTGACCGGCACTAGAAAGTA